TTCTAATACTTGTAATTAAATTAGTTTTATATGGTTTGATTAAAATTTAAGATTTGTTTATAAATTTGGACGAAATAAAAATAGAAATTCTATTACTTATCGATTATACATAAGAAATATTCATTTTTACGTATATTTAATCTCAATAATTCAAAAATATACTGACAGTTTGACTACATAAAATTTAAAAAATAATAGTAGCCGGGTGACCAATATATAATCTGATTGGTGGATTTAACTGTTTTGCAGTGTTCTTACTAGGTAGAATGAATATGAAATATATTCGTTCAGTTGAACGCAATGGAATACTTTTTTGTTTTGTAGTATGTGCGTAGATTAGCTAATATTCATGTGGGTATAGAAAAAAGCATATCCATGTGGATGTAGAAAATAGTAGTTTGTGTAACATGAGTGAATATAAATTAAATTGATTTTATATAGTTTAATTAAAATTTATAATTATTTATTTCTAAATATAGATCAAATAAAACTAGAAATGCTATTATTTATCGATTCTACACAAGTATAACTCATTTTACGCAATAGCATATTTTTTCGTTTTGTAGTCTGAGATACGCTATCCATTTGGGTGTAGAAAAAATTGTTTTCTAGTACTAAAAATATTTAAAAATAACATTGAGTAAAATGATTTATTATTAGTAAAAGAAGGAATAAAAATAATCATTTTTATTGACTATTGGTCGGATTTCTACTCGGATTTCTACTCAAATTTCTAATATCTAAACCTCTAGTTAAACGTGGATCTAAGATCTCGGGTAGTATACAATCTAAATAAAATTGCTTTAGTTTGTTTTCCATATACACCAAAATCTATCATCTTTTTTATTTTTTCTACTAACATACTTAAAGGTATTAAAATAAATAAAAAAAAAAAATATTTCGTTTAGTTACGTTAAGTTGGCCCTGAACAATTATTGCATTTTCGCATTATCATTAATAATTGCAAATTTTATTATGTTGTCAACCATTGCTTTTTTCGGAGTCAGTTTTAAAGCAGTGGCAGGATATTTAATTTCGATAATACTGTCTGTTCCTGATAAACCGTCGGAACCTAAAAACCATATTCAGAATCCACAAATAAACCACATTTATTGGATATCCGCTTTAAATTTGTAAATATTGCTTTAAAGCTAAAGGTTTTTTTTATTCAATACTTAGTATATTAATTTCCCATATATTTTAACTTTAATGCTTAAAAGGGGTGCTAATGTTTGTCTTTTTCTAAGTAATCTAGCACGATATTTTATAGATTTCCGTCGAAACGGAAATATAATTTTTGGCGTTTCCGAAAGTTTTCCCATTTTTATCACAAATTATTATAACTCAGCTTACACATAAAAGTTCATATAAACACATTGACTAAATACGAAACAAAAACACCTACACTTGAACTAAAAAGAATAAAGTTTTTTATTATTTTATTTTTATCCCAATTTTCCGGTACTGCATGCACCGCCAACGTCCGCCGCCTTGTTGCCAAATCAATTAATATGGATTGGAATCTTGACAGATTTTCTCAGATTTCCTAATTCAAGGTTTTCAAAAAATATACGCTTTGGACAAAAAAGTGTATTGGAAAGAATTAGCTGATTTTTATATAACAATTCCCGGTAAAGACTCCTTTTTGCAATAATTTTCATAATTTGTATAGAAATAATTAAAAAATTAGTTTTTCTGAATTCGGGCTCTACAGCGGAGTTCTCTATCATTTGCTTAGTAGGTATACCAAATTTTATAAAAAAATATTTAAAACAGAGAAAGAGAACCTTGAAGTCGTTTTAAGCCTGTTTCTAACCATGGATATCGCTCTTAATATATCGAATTAGTTCATAGAACAAAATCTGTTTAAAAATGCATTTTTTACAAGATGCGCTACACAAGAAAGATCCTCCCATCGAAAAACAATTATTGAGCGCAGCGCCATCTACATATTGACCTATTTAAAATTAATTTATATCTAAAACTAAAGCTCTCTTAGTGCTCTGTGAACTGGCTTTTACAGAATTAAAATATCTCTGTTACTTACCAAAATATCCGGCCTGGGAGGTTTTATTGGTAAGAAAATTCCATTAAATACTGTGAAATATTAGTGAGAGATAATAAAATATTATTTATTTTGTTTATATAATTATTTTTTTATTCATTCAACATGTATGCAGGGTAGAGTGAGCCAAAATAACTAACCTATCGAATTTATGGTTTAAAATGAACCTATATACCGAGAAAAAAATTCCCTGCAAGGCAGGATTTTTTGCTCAATTTTAAAAGGTGTCGGTGAGCATTCAAAGTTTCCCATTCAAATAACATGCAAAAAAATATTTTTTCATTAAAAGTACCATAACTTTTGAACCGTTTAGGATTCTTGTAGAGCATAAAATTTCCCAAAAAATTTATCATAGGATTATTTTTTTTTAATTCAAAAATTCGTATATTTGATGGATGTTCAAGACCATCTATTGCCTCAAAATGTACATGTTCCAAAATCAATTTAATGTTGGTAGTAAAAAAGATTTACTTTGGTGACGTTTGTAGTTTTATAAGTATTGTTTATGTGAAAGCAGGGTTTAAAGCTCCTTGTCCGATAAAGGCTCTAGTTCAAGACTTAAATTTTCTGAAAAATTTAATCAACTAAAAAATATCAATGAAAGATCTCAAATGCTACTGTTTTAATATTTTCGCGACACTTATGGTACTTCACAGAAAGACTTGCAAAAATATCTTTTCGTGCAATCGCACGCGAAGTCAGTATTTCGCGTTCTCAGCACAGTCCGCGAAATTTAATTTCGCGGCCGTTACCCATAGCAACGGCTGCGAAACCAAACGTCACTTCCAAATTTGAATATCACTTCCAACTTTGACATTTCTAAAATATTACAAAGACAAGGATTATTTTTTATTTTCGGGTATTAAAAAGGAAATCGCCGAATTTACAACTCTCTTTAGTTTAGGAGGATTGGAAGGTACTGAAATATTGCTATCAGTATCAAACATTTTGCGTTTTGTCAAGAACTGTCAAAATATTTTGTATGTATTGAACATTTCCATAGCACACGGTGACATTGTTAAATAAATTGAACTGCTGTTGATTTTAGATCAATAATATATTTATTTACAATTATCTAGTTTAATAATTTTAACGATTGCACGAAAAATAGTGTGTATGCCATGGCCGCGAAACTTTTTAACGACCTCAAGATTATCGCGATAACTATTCTTTCGGTACGTTAAAATGGTATTTCGCGGCCTAAGCATACAAATAACTATTTTTTGATTCTAGTATAAGCTTGGAAATGAAAAAGAAAATGATTAATGCTACTAAAAAATACGAGAACAAAGTTGATGAAAACAAAATTACATTAACTAAAACACAACTTGACATGATCTGCTCGAAAGATATCAGTGATTTTATCACAAAAAGATCGTTAGAATTTTTAGATTGAGTTGAGTTATCACAGGACTTTTTAAATATTGAGCTAGAATATTCAGCAAAAGATAATTCATACAAATCATGTTCCGATATTGTTAAAAACATCAAAGGTGTTAATGATATTGCTGAACGAGCTATTGCATTGATACAGAAATACAATTGAACTCTAACAGAAAATGAGGAACAAAAATAATTCATCTTACAAGTAGTGCAATTACATCGTCAGCAATATCCTAATTGTAATAAATTAAATTTCATTAAGAACTAATTAGTTGTCAACAAGAGTGTATAAATGATTTCAATTGCAATAAAAAAATTACATTATTAAACACAATAGGTTTTCTTTTGATAAATCTAGATTATTAACGATATTTATCAATTATTTTATATTGCACTAGTGGAAAAAATTAAGGGATCAAAAAAAATCTCTATTTTTGCGATTTTTCGAATGGATGTATCTTTGGTAAAAATGGTCGTACGTAAATGAAAAAAAAAAGCAATTTGAAGCCTAAAGTGTCTAATTTATGGATCTTGCGTTAAAAAAATTTCCAATCAACAATTAGCACAAAATCCTGACGAATATCATGGATAGAAAAACGCGATCCTTCAATTTCTTCAAAAATTCACTCGCATGAAACAGTAAAACGGCTTGATGGATCAGGTTGAAATATTGTAGGGCTTTCGGAGAAATAATGGCCTGTAAGTTGCATACTCAACATCATTCATTTTCCGAATATTCTCAATGTGGTACGTGATTTTATAAAAAACCTTAAAAAGGCCTGTTTTCCGAAATTCTTTAAAGTCATGCTAGGGATGAAAAAAAAATTCTCGTGAAAGAACATGTCAGTACCTAGAAAATGAATAGAAGTTTATGAAACCCCCCTTCCATTTTCTAAGCGACCATTTGTTCCTGAGACATTGACGAGAGAAGAGGAAATGACGCATTTTCGTTCATTTTCTGATAACTCAACAAGGAAGGGTCATCTCGAGGCCATCAAAAAATGGAATTAAAGCTAACTGAACCACCTATCCAATGCATATACTGCCGTGTGAATGTAAAGAGCAGTAAGTAACATTTTTGTCAAAAGTGAGATATTAATGTTATATATCTAAGCAGTAACTGCGCTAACTTCAGATATTTTGGTGCATATTTATAAATCAACTTAGGCCAGAATTAAATAGGTAAATCGCAGTATTTGACAATGTCACTCCTCAGTGTTACACTAAAAGGCAGTATCTAACTTAATAACCAATTACTGCTATTTACCTACAAAGTTTCTCAAAACATAAATTCAAATGTGAATGTAAAAGAGCAGTATCTACTTTTTATTTAATTACTGACTTTTGCCTCCACAATTTATTTATTTGTAATACGTCAAGATATAAGAAAGTATCTACCCGGATACTGCGTTTTTCCTAAAAAACACCATGTTTTTTCAAGTCTGTATTTTTAGTTAGTTATTCTCGGTTCATTAGCGGGCGTAGACTTGTTTAGTACGTCAACTGTGCTTTGAAGCGTTTTTTTTTGTTTATACGAGTATTAACAAATAAAATGTTGTCACGGGGCAAATATATAGTCTCTTTGGTAACTACTAATCGAGCAGAAACACCAGGTCAAGGTAGGTATCCTTTTGATATAATTTAAAGCAAAAATTAGAATATTTTTTGATTTTGTTTTGGCAGGTTTATACAGAAATTCAATATGATTTTTTATTTTTTTTGATATTTTAGATCTTTTAACACTTGATCCATCAACATCGGCTTTCAAAGCTCAAAACAACAGAGAAATAGATAAAAATATTATGGTAACAGCTACTAAAGGTAGTGAGATGACAGTGACAGAAGCATCACATCAAGAAGGTAAGCACATGATTTTTTAATAAATGCTACTTAACTAAATAACATGTTATATGGTATTGATTTGGTGTTTTCTCCTTATTTGTTTTATAAGTAATAACTATCCAATTTTCTTATTTTAGATATTTTAACACCTTACACATCAACATCGGCTTATGAAGCTCAAAACAGCAGAGAAATAGATGATACTCTAACGATAACAGCTACCAAAATATCCTCTTTTCATACGGCAATGGCAGAAGTATCATACCAAGGAGGTAAGCACATGGTTTTGCAACAATTTGACTTAAACTAAAAATAATTGGAGGTATTTGTGGATTTGAAAAGAAACCTGAACGTTGTCTGGCTATAACTACCATCTAAAGTTTCCGTTAAGGTACGTTTACATCTGACATTTATTGCATGATATTTATGTATGACAGTTGTTTAGTCCAGTGTAAACACTCAAAAATATATGTCCGAGAGAAATTTTTGTGTGTTTACACTGGACTAAACAACTGTCAGACATAAATCTCATGCAATAAATGTCAGATGAAAATGTACCTTTAGGAATCTCGACAGTCAATGTCTTGACAGCCTCTCAGTAGGGGCACACGTCAGGCAGACGTGATGATGTTGGTTCGACTTCCGTCAATGACCGGTTTTTTTTTTAAATTTACAAATATGTTTTTACATTTGGGGTCCGGGATGGTCTTAATATTTTATCTAACAAATCCCAAAACGTTGAAGAAATAGGCCAAATTACTGGATACTCTGACGACTCAATTGATGATCCAAATTATCAACAACCTGAGAGCTCAGAAGATAATACAAGTTCGATAAATAATGAACCTGAAAACATTCGAGGACTGCCGCGGTAAAGCTATTGCATAGCATTTTTTATCAACTTATGCAATTATAATTATTTATTTAGTTTATTTATGCAGTATTTTTTTTCTCTGATATTAATTCAAGTTTTTTCTTTGATATTAATTCAAGTTACACTTTTTGAGCGTGGTGACCGATAAGAAAACAATTTTTTTTCTTTTATTGAATAAATAAAAAGTTAATATTGTTTAAAATATTTTTATTATCTTACAATACATGTAGGTTATTCAGGACTTTTTATCATTGAAACTATAGGTTTATGGAACTGAAATAAGAAACAAAGTTTGAGAATCGATATCCTCTAAATATCTGGAAAATACCGCGTCAATGGTGGTCCCATATTTTGTTGAGGATTCTTGTGGATCAATATTTATTTTCAAATTCAATTTTTCCGAAATTGTGTCTAAAAGGGATAGAATCAGTTATGAGCAGTTAGCAGCTAGTCTACACGCATACGTCTAGTCGCACGCATACAAACACCGTGCCGAAGTCTGCCGAACTGAAACGACGTTAGACGATGCACGGCTTTCAACGCCGCACCGCGATGCCGGTCGGAGTGGGGGTGTTAGGTTTATTTTGGTTGCGGAATTTCTTTTTCGATTATTCGATTATTCGATTTTTCGATTTTTCGATAGCTTAAAAACTCTTTTTGAGAACTTTCGGTTTCGACGAAAAAAATGATAAAGGTATTACAACGATGTTAAATAATGTGGCACATGGTAGCTTAACACCAAATAGAGATAGACGAGGATTAGCAGCACCGACAAACAAGTGTAATCGTGAAATTCTGCAACAACACATTTCATCTTTTCATCCATGTATATCTCACTACCGAAGAGAACATGCTCCTAATCGTTTGTATCTACCTCATAATATCACAATTAGAAGTATGCATGCTGATTACCTTCAGAAATATCCAAAAAATAAAGTTAGCTATTACACTTATCGAAAAGTAATGTCCGACATGAACATTAGTTTTACAAAACTAGGAAATGAGGAGTGCGATAACTGTATGGTACACATTCAGCACATAAAATCACATAATGAGGCAACAGTCAAATCTGAAGAATATTTTGTTGAAAATGCGGAAGGTCCTGATGAATATCAAACAGATCACAGAATAAATATTACTGGTAGAAATGCTGGTCCTGAATTAAATCTGTCGGCTCTTCAATCTTCAACAACAAAATTTCGAACTTCTTGTACACTATGTATGAAATGCTTACGGCACGTTGAGAATGCCAAAACAAAAATAGTTGAGTATAAAAAGGATGTGGCACAGAAAAAGGATGAAACCAAAGTAGTACGAAGTGTAGACTTCCATAAAGTTATAATGCTGCCAAGGATTCCCTCAAGCCAAAAAATATTTTTTACAAGAAGAATTGTTGTTTTTAATCTACCATTTTCATCAATGGCAGACGTGAAAAGTAGAGATATTAAAAAAAATCGGTTTTATGACATGAAGCCACAGAATACTTTTACAGAAGCGAAGGCATCTCAATTTTTGGGGTCCAAAATTTTTTGCGCATGATCAGGGCCGCCATTTTATAACCGGCAAAACTGTCATGTCACGAGTGTTGTTTTGATGTGTCAGGATCAGTCATTTATAATTTATGATTTTTTTTTATCGAATTTAAGTGTATTTTAGTGTTTTCCTTTGTATATTTTTTTAACAATTATTGAGTAAATCTGTGTTTAGTGCTTTACTTTGTCTATTTTATGAACATTGTTCAGTAAACATGTTTTTGTGGTATGTGCTGAGCTATTTACATATTTTTATTTATTTTATTAAGGCAAAATAATTTTTTAGTGAACTGATGGAATCTAAAAGAAAGAGATGTGTTTATCGTCCATGTCTACCTCGAACGAATTCGAATACTAGTTATTTTTCATTTCCCAAAGTTTCAGAAAGGTATGCAAAATAAATTATGCAATTTAAATGACCATGGAGCAGATCCCATCGAGAAGGGCTTCGAGTAAAATGAGTAAAACGAGGTACTTTTCAAATGCAGCAATGTTAACTGTATGTTATTTATTTGGCTATTTAATCAAAACAATTATTTTATTATCATTTTTAAATCAAATTATATTTATGTACCTATGACAATGTATTTTGTATTTTTTTTAGGTTTCCCATGTTGTTAAGAGCCTGTAGTCAAGAAGACTTGATTAATATAACCAGTGAATAATTACACAAAAGCTACCAGTTGTGTAAAAAACATTTCCAGCCCAGTAGTTTTTCATTTGGATCAACTCGGAAATGTTTATTTGAAAATGTACTTTTGACAATATTCTGACACACACCCACAACAAATGAAATAATTGATCATTCTGAATGAATCTGTACCCTACTAAATCCCACGACGATTTTCTCAGTACACCAGGTATTAAAAATAATATAAAAGTGTCGTTTTTATATATTTTTTTTTTAGGTCCCAGCAAAAGAATGACTAACTTTGAAGATTGAAGAGATATTGTTGTTTCTATTTTGATAATGCATGTGCCAGTCCCAAAAATATCCTTCGGTTGTGCCACAATTTTTAAAACAACCATTTGCAGATTAGTTAAATCTCAAGCGGAATTTAAAAACAAAAAGCCTCTAGCTAGAAGACATTCCAATGAATACAAGCAGTTTGCGCTTACCTTGTATTTTTTAGGACCTAGGGCATATTCCTTTGTCTAAAATTTTGTGCCTTTTGATGTGTAGGTATTTTTCATATTGATATTTTTATTAATCTGATTTTTGTAATATGTGTTTTTCGTATTTTCGTTTATTAAAATTAATAGTCAGTATGGGTACGTGTTTTATTTATAACAACCTTTTTCCTACAGTACTTTTCTTCAAATCTCAAATTTATGTATACAACAAATTCATATGATTTATAAACAAATCCTAAGTCGTCTGGATTTATGAAATACAGCTACGAGAATGTGCCATAATATAAGTTTTCCAAAATAAAGTTCTAAGATGTATCATTGATGCACCCTGGCTCTATCTAAACGATTATCTTCATACAGACAAATAAGAAAAAGAGGTTACTGCAAAACATGAGGGTCGACTCCACTCCCACGTTAATGAAGTGCTGCAATTACTGGACAACTCTGCACAAAAGACTCGAAAGAAAAGCCATTTGAGCTAGTGCTAGTGTAAAACAGTGTAATAAATCGATACGCCAATTATTGGTGATGCTTTTCTACCAACGACTACTAGATTAATTTTGTTTACAAAAATGGAATTGTAAAAAATCACAGATTTATCCACCGAGTTGTCAAATTATTATAAGAGTATGGCGAAAGTCTTAATACAAGGATTGTTTATGGTATTATTGACATATGATAAGGTTCTAAAACACATAAAAGGCTTTCAAAATGACAGTTCGGAAGTATTTGCATTTTTAATGCCAGTTATTATCAGTTTTATCTATTTTTCTAGATTCAACTATCATAGTTGAAGGTGTTTTTCAGGAAAGTATACAATTAATTAATACATCAATAATTTGTAATAGAATCCCTCTGTTAAAGAGTTAATGTTAAAAAAAAAACGATGAATTAAGTACAACGAGTATTCGGTCTGGTTCCTCAAGTAAAAACTCTTTTTTATTATAGCGATCAGTACAATTTACTTCAAAATAAATTATTGTGAAGCCTTATTTTATCTAATTATATCACTAACCTTCAATTCAGAGAAGAAATAGTGGATGTTGCTAAATAAGTTTGTTACATATATTTAAACCCTTTTCTCAGTGTATTATCCGAATTTATAAGAATCTTGATAATTTTTACCAGTGTAACAACCGGCAAGAACGTCAACCGTCAGCGAGTGTCACTTTAAATTTTGGCCACCCCGACATCAAACGTGCCGACGCAAGCCTTCATTTCTGTAATAGTGGTTATTCTGTGATGAAGCTGTGGCTGGTAGAAGAAAAGAAGAAATTGCATCTGCATATTATAGAGCTTTAGTAGAAGAAAGAAATGCTCTTAAAGTGTTGTATTGGACAAATAGCTGCTCTGCCCAAAATAAAAATTGGTGCTTCGATACCATGTTTGTCACGATGGTAAACTCAAATGTAGTTGCCGCCTCTAAAATTACACTTAAATATTTAGACACAGACCACACGTGAGTGCGGATTCTTTTCCTCACGGGGTGGAACAAAGCATGAAGACCACAAACGCAAGAAACATTTACGACTATAACGATTCTATCAAGGCCGTAAAAATTTCAAATGGAAAAAAATAAACGTAACTTGTTTGACAAATAAAGATGTTTTGAACTGGACGCCTGGAAATTCAAAGGCCAAATCCAAACAAAAGGACAGATCCTTGCTGTGCGATATATCTGTGGTACAATTTAGACGAGGGGGCAGACTACAAAAGAAACAAGAAATAATTTCGCAACTGTGTCCAATCTTGCCTGAAAACAGACGACAGTTTTGGCTTTCATTAAAAGAAGATGACGTAGAAGACTTAATAGATAATTACCAATGATTTTCAAATTATGTAGTGAAACGTAAATAACGTTTACATTCAATGGTTCTACCAAAGTTTTATTATTATAAAATAAATTATCCCAAATAAATTATCCATATTGAATCACACTGTATTCAACAATTTTAAGTACCTCGTACCATACGACAGTATCGGTAAAAAGCCAGCGGTGTTTTTTTTGTTTAGCTCGCGAAATTAAGTTCTCGTGGGTCTAACGCAAATTTCTAGATAAATCGATGGGATTTTGATTTCAAAGCTCTGGTTAATAACAGTGATATATATTTTGAGGGAATTTTCCAATAATCGCTGTAGGCGGATTTAATTTCTCAAATATTAATTTAGTACAAGTGTTTCTGGTTGAAATTATTTATTTTGTGCATTTGTACTATTTACGTCGAGTGACGGATTTCTTTGATAGCTGTTTTGAACACTTTGATGAAAACGTCTCTACAATAAGGAATTATTTTTGGAATAACTGTGTAGGAGGTTAGTAATCAATTATTACAAAGTAAAATTTGCGTTACCCATTAATTTAAAATTATTTAAATTTACTAATAAATAGAAAGTTTTCTTTAATGCTAAATAAAGTTTTTCCTATTTTTTTAGACGTTTATTTGGGTACCGGTTCTGATTTCAAGAACGATAAATTATTGTTTCCAACTGCTGGTAGAACAATTGAACTGTAAAACATAATTTTGTGATTGAAACAAAATACCAAGAGGCTTTTTATTGTGGATTTGGCTGAGAGGGAATTCGAACCTTTAAAAATAAGTACCCCGCTGTGGGAATCATTTTATTATTATTTATTTTCTATAAATAGTAGTTAAGTTTAGTTATTCTACATTATTAACTGTGTAACTGGTTTTGGGATAGAGTTATTTTTGGGGTTTAAGTTTGTCTTGATTCCCAAAATCAGCTACTCTTGCAAGAGTTTAGGGCAATCTTAATATTATTATAAATATTGAAGAAAAGTTAATATATATTTTTTTGGCTTTATTGAAATTCTACCTCTTATTATTTATTTTTACCCTTACACAAGAAGTCTCACTAAAGAGAGTAAGTTTAGTAATTTTTTATTGTCTTTAAATTTTCCATCGCCGCTCAAATTACTTGGCGCCGGGTTAAATAATCATTTTCTTTAAATTTGTATATGAACCACCCCATATACTGAGCTGAGCTAGGCACTTATAACTGTTATTATTTTATGCAGCAAAAGAAACGTAACAGTAGGTACCTACCTACGAATTTATTCTTTTAGTTTCATGTCATTTAATGTCCTTTTGCTTTATTTTGTATTTATTTTATTTATTTTGGAGATGGTATTATTTATTTAAAGCTAGAAAGTTACTTACATTTACTGTTTGTTAATAACAAATTGATATGTACTACTTTTAGGGTAAACAGTAGTAACCGCTGAATTTTCAGCAAAAGTCAAAGTAAGAAAATTTTACTTTTTTCTAAAAAATAATACCTATTCACTAACGTTATATAATGTTTTTTTATTTAAAATAGAAATAAAAATAAATTGCGTAAAACAAAAAACACTAAATTGGTAATAATTTAAAATCATTATTGTTGCACTAACTGCTTTTTACCTTCACACGGAAGTATAGTGGTTATGTCGAGAAAATTCTGTACACTAAAAAGTAAAAAAAAAAAAAAATTTTTTTTAATTTTCTTGCGATGATATTCCTCAGGATTTTGTGCTAATTGTTGGTTAGAAATTTTTTTATCACATGATCCATAAACTAGACACTTCAAGCTTCAAATATTTTTTTTTTATTCACGTACGACCATTTTTACCAAAGATACAACTACTCGAAAAATCGCAAAAAAATCAAGATTTTTTTTGATCCCTTAATTTTTTCCACTAGTATATTTAAATCCAACTTTATGTTAAATATAAACATTTTTAGTCAAAAAACACTAAAACTGAATATTTTGATTTTTTCACTTTTCAAAGCTTTCAAATATACGAATTTTTAAATTGAAAAAAATAATCCTGGGATAGATTTTTAGGAAACTTTATGCTTTACAAGAATCAGTGACGTAAAATTTTTTATCCTAAACGGTTCAAAAGTTATGGTATTTTTAATGAAAAAGATTTTTTTTACATGTTATTTGAATGGGAAACTTTGAATGCTCACCGACACCTTTTAAAATTAAGCAAAAAATCATGTCTTGCAGGTAAATTTTTTCTCGGTACACAGGTTTATTTTAACCCATAAATTTTATAGGTTAGTTGTTTGGCTCACCCTAATGTAGGGTGTTCCTGAAATAGCTAAATTAACTTTAAGGAGAGATAATACACCTAAAAATATGAAAAACCTCTTGTAAATATACCTTCCAAAATACACTGTTTTTGATATACAGTGTATCAGAAAAAAAAAGGGTTTTTTAGAGAATATGTCCAAAACCATTTGTCGCACATAGATCAGCTTTGGATAGTACACTTATTCACCGCTAAGTTATTGGCTTATTTTGATGCAGTGGCTGAGGTTTTGAAATTAACAAGGGTTTTCTACCAATAATTTCTCTCAGTTCTTTCAGTTTTTAAAACAAAAAATAACATTTTTTATATATATATATATTTTTTAAACAAACGTATCTATTCTCAATTTTTTTTGTTTCAAAAATAGTAATTTTTATGTATAAAAAACGCCAAAGGTGTTAAACATTTTAATTTTTTTTTAGTACCGTAGAAATTAGTGAATGAAAAGCCCTTGTCAACCCCACAAATTTCGCTACTGCTTTATGCAAAGTCAATGGATTAGGAGTGAAAAAAGTACTTTTTAAGTACACTATTCATCTCTATGTAACAAACTGTTACTGAGATTTTCGCGCTTTTGCTTAACACTCAAAAACGGTACATTTTAAAACGTCTGTGTATATTATCTTCCTTTGACATTTATTGTATTAATTCAGGAGACACCCTGTGTCCAATTATTAAATATTATTATGAAAGTCACATGGGGGTTGACATAATAAATTCTATCCTAAATTAAATTGTTAAAAAAACTGGACTAGAACTAGAAATGCGAATTATTAATTAAGAAAATTTACTAACATGCATAATAGGTAAAAAATATAAAAACAATTTTAAACAATTCTAAAGAAAATTTATAGATACTATTAGTTGTTAAATCTAAAATAGTTTTTAGATGTTATCTTTAATTTGAATACTACAAGAACATATATATTTTAATTTTCAAATTTAATATCCATAATATACAGGATGTTTCAAATGATATATGACATCGCTTGTACGGTAATTCCTTATCCAAAAATAGGAAAAATTGTTTCTATCAACCTGAGTCGGCAGATGCTTTGTTTCAAAGATACAGGACAATACAATTTGTTTTTTCGGTATTTTAAAATATTTCCGAAACGATTTAAATTAAATTGAACCTGAAAATTCACATATTTAGGCATCAAATAGATGTGAAAAATTGTGTATACTAACGAATTTTTCAATTTTTAAAGGCAGATTTATTTAGAGAACATAATACTGGATATATTGTTTTATTTTTCTCCCTATTTTCCACCATAGTAATCAAATATCACTCAAATATAAAACATTTATGCTCTGATTAAATTTGAATAGCATTTATACCAACATATTTAAGATTTGCCTTTAAATAAATATTAATTCCTATTTAACAAGCCCAATTTTATTTAAATTATTAAAGCTGTTTTGAAAATATTTAAACATAACCGATAAAAATTGTATCACTCTGTATCTTTGAGGCAAAGCATCTGTTTTTTTTTTTAAAGTGAATATATTTTACCTAATTTTTGTAACAGTACTTTTCGCTTTAAAAAATAAACACTTTGTGATGGAAAACATTACTTTAAGTATTATAGATAGAAAAAGTTACCAAGCTCTTATCAAGAACAACACTCTTACCCCTATAGGCGATATTTTTCACTCTTCTCAATGTTACGGGTGTGTTTACTCTTATTTTTGGTTTTATTTTTCGTTTATGTCTTAAAAGTTTCTCGATCAACTTGAAAATTTGGAAATATAATGGAAAAATAATTTAGGTCAAGCGTAAATAAATCTCATGCAATTATTTAGAGTCAAAATTCAAATGTTTTATGCAAGTTGTCCCAAATTTAGTAGGAAGTAAATGTTAAAGGAAAGAAAAGCATAATTAGTTAAGTAAAGAATATTTTAATAAATTGTTAACCGTTTTTGATATACAATTCGTTTTTTTATTTTAAAAAGGCTATAATTACTGTATTTCTTGATTGTTTTGGCTTTTACTTGACGAAAATCCATATTGTTCAAACGAGAAAAATCAAACTTGGTGGATTTCACAAACACTTTCATTAAAAAAATAAAATTCTTCATGATAATCACAGTTTCGAAGTACAATTTTTTTTTCAAATATGTCTAATTTTTTGTTTTTTTTTTTATATTGACTTTTTTATGAGTTTCTACATTTTTCTAGAACATTTGGTGTTTTTCTTTCCAGGGAGATGTACTCTGTTTACAATATTAACCAGCTGTAGTCTATTTTTATGTATGAGAGAGTAATAAAACAGCATTTCTAATGCAAAACTTAGTACGGTCATTTTAAATATTTTTACAGAATAATCTAAATATTTCCTAAAATTGTAATAAATGTACCTGAGCTATTACAAGTTTTGAGTATTTTATTGGTCCTTTATAAACATAAACTGTACAGAACAATAGAAAAAAGTTTGGACAGGCCAAAAGCCCTGTATATTAAAGATTACATAGCCGTATCTTAAGATTATTTTCAATAAGTACCTATTTGCCAATTTTCTTTTATTTTAATTCCAAGAATTTCTTACAGTAATCGAACTATAAGTAGATAAATACCTTTCCAACAAATTTCACCGACAATGCGATTATAGGTTTTCCATTTAGTAAGGAGGTCCAAGTTGTGTATTCTTGACAGTTTACTAAATGTCGTTTAGTTGCAACTTGCAAGTTACAGTGTGAATTCTAGTGTGATCATGGAAAATTTGGAAGGGCCGCGAAAACGACAAAAAATCGGTCCTTTAACAGTTAATGAAAAAATATTAATATTTAATTGTTTTAAATCATTTACAGACAAACATTTATGTAAAAGTGTTGATGACACAGTGGAATTAGTTAGTAGTACGCTTGGTGTTGGGAAATCTACGATTTACAAAGTTGTTAAAGAAGAGACATGTGGCGAGTTTCAAACAGCACGCAAAGCTCCAGGAAAACCAAAATTTCAATTAGAAAATCTTTTGAAAGAAAGACTTCGAAGGAAAGTGCATGCGTCCTTCTTTAGAAAAGAATTTCCGACAGTAGACAAAGTTCTTGCCACGGTTCGAGATGATAAGGATTACCCTGAAATGAGTCGAAGCACACTATGGAAACTTTTAAAAGAAATGGGTTTTCTATGGAAAAAGCATTCCAGAAAGTCTATTTTAATAGAAAGACGCAATATTGTAGTATGGAGAAGAAACTACCTAAGGACTATAAAAGAAATGAGAAACCAAAGAAAAAATATATTTTATTTAGATGAAACATGAAACTGTTAAAAGTCGAAGACAGGCTTTTTAAATAATTTATCTACTGGTTTAAATCCACCATCAGAAAAGAGGCGCAGACTAATAATAGTACACATTGGTAGTTCAAACGGTTTTGTTAAAGGTGGTTTATTGACTTTTGAATCTACTCGTACCAGTGACTACCATGAGGACATGAATGCTGATGTCTTTAAAGAGTGGTTCGAACAAATTATAGATCTTCTTTCTCAGAGCTGTATAATAGTAATGGATAATACAAGTTATCACTCGAGATTTATAGAAAAAATGCCCACAACCAAGTGGTTAAAAAACGATTTACAGAATTAACTAAATTCAAAGAATATTAAGTTCCATCCCGGTTCTGTTAGAAAAGAACTGTATCATTTGTATTCCCTTCATAAAGAGAAATTCAAAAAATATGAAATTGCACAAAATCGTGGGATGACGGTGGTTAGATCACCACCATATCATTGCGAAGTAAACCCGATTGAACTGATATGGGCACAGATAAAGAGAGAAGTTTCAAGAAAAAATAATTCTTTTAAAATGAGTGATGTTAAACAGTTGTTTTTGGAGGCTGTAAATAATGTGAAGCCTGAAAACTGGGAAAAGGCAGTAAATCATACGAATAAAGACGAAGAGAAAATGTGAAAGTTGGACAATATTACTGATAAAATGATCGAGCCACTCATTGTAAATATTGGTTGCGACAGTTCATCTTCTGATTTCGATTCTGATTTGGATTTGTAGGTAAGAAGTAGTTTTTATATTAAAATTATTATTTATGAACGTAACGTTGTTTAAAAGTTAAAGTTTAAACCCTTATACCTACGTAACCCGTTTGACACAATGTTCTTAACATACCTTGTGGAAAA